TCTTAATTTATTTTTTGTAAATCTTAAGATAGGACTTGACTACTTTTTTTATTATTAAGCAAAAGTTTTTTGTAATGTGTTATTACTTTATAATAAAGTGTTTATAGATTATCATCTATTGTTTGAATTCTGCCAAGTTTTATTCAAAACCTTCAGTTTTTAAAAATTTTTGATTTTCTTCAATCCAAATTTAAGATTTTGGAGAATTTAAAGAATTTCAAAAGCTCTGAAGATTACAGAACGAATAATTTGAAGAAAGAATAGAACAGTGGAATTTCAAGAATTTAAAGACAAAGTAGTCTTTGGGAATTGAAAAGTCGGAAGAATTTGAAGAGATAGAAGAATTCAAGGAAACATCAGAATCACTAAAATACAAAGAAGCCGAAGAATCTGATGAATCATATGGATCTGAGGAAATGGAAGAATTTAACCTGACGAATTTGAAGAATCGTAGAAACTTAAAAATCTAGAAAAAAGTTGAAGAATCTGATGGAAATTTGAAGAATGCAGGAACAAAAGAATCAAAGAAACGAAGAAATGGACAAATTTAAAGAATTTGAAGAATTCCACAAATACCTTTAGGTTTTATGGTGTTGTTTCGAAAAATCTGAAAAACCAAAGAATCTGCAGTTTTGTAAAAATTAAAAAAAAAACTGATAAATTTAAAGAGTTGGAAGAACCGATAATAAAATCCAAGATGTAGAATAGGAAGATTGGGAATATAAGATACGAAGAATGTACATAATTTGATAAATCGTAAGAATTTTAAAAAGGGGAAGCTGAAATATCAGAGGAATTCCAAGATGTATCATAAAAATCTGACGTATCTGAAGCACTGGAAAGTTCCTACGAATTTGAAGAAGAAAGCAAATGAGTATTTGAAAAAGGGATCGGAATCCTAATAATCTGAAGAATTTGACGAGTCAAAAGTCTGAACAATACGTGAATATATGAAGAATTATAAGTAACAGAAATATCCAAGGAATCTGATGGTTTTGAGGAATTTTCAAAATTCTCTGAACTGGAATAATCTGAAAAGATACTGAGAAATTCAATTTCAGAATTTGAAAGTGTTTGAAGAATTTGAGGAACGTGAAAAACGGCACAAAGCTTGAACACAATCATTGCCGAGTGAACCAAAGGCGAGTTCGGAACAGTTTAGGCCACCCTCGTGCATTGTTACTTTGGATAGAAACTGGGCCGAGTTGTGCCGAAATTCTCTTCGGCTCGCTCGGCAACGACTCCTTTTGGGTGTGAAATTTATCAAATTGAATAACTAGACTTGAGCACAATTATTGCCGAGCGAGCCGATGGCGAGTTCGGCACAGTTTAAGCCACCCTCGTGCATTGACACCTTGGTTAGAAGAAACTGGGCCGAGTTGTGCCAAACTTCTTTTCGGCTCGCTCGGCAACGACTCCTTTTGGGTGTGAAATTTATCAAATTGAAAAACTAGGATTGAGCACAATTATTGCCGAGCGAGCCGAAGGCGAGTTCGGCACAGTTTAGGCCACCCTCGTGCATTGACACTTTGGTTAGAAGAAACTCGGCCGAGTTGTGCCGAACTTCTCTTCGGTTTGCTCGACAACGACTCCTTTTGGGTGTGAAATTTATCAAATTGAATAACTAGGATTGAGCACAATTATTGCCGAGCGAGTTGAAGTCGATTTCGGCACAGTTTAGGCCACCCTCGTGCATTGACACTTTGGTTAGAAGAAACTCGGCCGAGTTGTGCCGAACTTCTCTTCGGTTTGCTCGGCATCGACTCCTTTTGGGTGTGAAATTTATCAAATTGAATAACTAGGATTGAGCACAATTATTGCCGAGCGAGCCGAAGGCGAGTTCGGCACAGTTTAGGCCACCCTCGTGCATTGACACTTTGGTTAGAAGAAACTCGGCCGAGTTGTGCCGAACTTCTCTTCGGTTTGCTCGGCAACGACTCCTTTTGGGTATGAAATTTATCAAATTGAATAACTAGGTTTGAGCACAATTATTGCCAAGCGAGCCGATGGCGAGTTCGGCACAGTTTAAGCCACCCTCGTGCATTGACACCTTGGTTAGAAGAAACTGGGCCGAGTTGTGTCAAACTTCTCTTCGACTCGATCGGCAACGACTCCTTTTGGGTGTGAAATTTATCAAATTGAATAACTAGGATTGAGCACAATTATTGGCGAGCGAGCCGAAGGCGAGTTCGGCACAGTTTAGGCCACCCTCGTGCATTGACACTTTGGTTAGAAGAAACTGGGCCGAGTTGTGCCGAATTTCTTTTCGGCTCGCTCGGCAACGACCCCTTCTGGGTGTGAAATTTATCAAATTGAATAACTAGGATTGAGCACAATTATTGCCGAGCGAGCCGATGGCGAGTTCGGCACAGTTTAAGCCACCCTCGTGCATTGACACCTTGGTTAGAAGAAACTGGGCCGAGTTGTGTCAAACTTCTCTTCGACTCGATCGGCAACGACTCCTTTTGGGTGTGAAATTTATCAAATTGAATAACTAGGATTGAGGACAATTATTGGCGAGCGAGCCGAAGGCGAGTTCGGCACAGTTTAGGCCACCCTCGTGCATTGACACTTTGGTTAGAAGAAACTGGGCCGAGTTGGGCCGAACTTCTCTTCGGTTTGCTCGGCAACGACTCCTTTTGGGTATGAAATTTATCAAATTGAATAACTAGGATTGAGCACAATTATTGCCGAGCGAGCCGATGGCGAGTTCGGCACAGTTTAAGCCACCCTCGTGCATTGACACCTTGGTTAGAAGAAACTGGGCCGAGTTGTGTCAAACTTCTCTTCGACTCGATCGGCAACGACTCCTTTTGGGTGTGAAATTTATCAAATTGAATAACTAGGATTGAGCNTTCGGCACAGTTTAGGCCACCCTCGTGCATTGACACTTTGGTTAGAAGAAACTCGGCCGAGTTGTGCCGAACTTCTCTTCGGTTTGCTCGGCAACGACTCCTTTTGGGTGTGAAATTTATCAAATTGAATAACTAGGATTGAGCACAATTATTGCCGAGCGAATTGAAGTCGATTTCGGCACAGTTTAGGCCACCCTCGTGCATTGACACTTTGGTTAGAAGAAACTCGGCCGAGTTGTGCCGAACTTCTCTTCGGTTTGCTCGGCAACGACTCCTTTTTGGGTGTAAATTTATTTCAAATTGTAATAACTAGATTGAGCACAATTATTGCGAGCGAGCCGAAGGCGAGTTCGGCACAGTTTTAGGCCATCCTCGTGGATGACACTTGGTTAGAAGAATCGGCGAGTTGGGCCGAACTTCTCTTCGGTTTGCTCCCCAACGACTCCTTTTTGGGCTATTGGAAATTTATCAAATTGAATAACGGATTGAGGCAAACAATTATGGCGAGCGAGCCGAGGCGGAGTTCGGCACAGTTTAGGCCACCCTCGTGCATTGACACTTTGGTTTAGGAAGAAGAAACTCGGCCGAGTTGTGCCGAACTTCTCTTCGGTTTGCTCGGCAACGACTCCTTTTGGGTATGAAATTTATCAAATTGAATAACTAGGTTTGAGCACAATTATTGCCAAGCGAGCCGATGGCGAGTTCGGCACAGTTTAAGCCACCCTCGTGCATTGACACCTTGGTTAGAAGAAACTGGGCCGAGTTGTGTCAAACTTCTCTTCGACTCGATCGGCAACGACTCCTTTTGGGTGTGAAATTTATCAAATTGAATAACTAGGATTGAGCACAATTATTGGCGAGCGAGCCGAAGGCGAGTTCGGCACAGTTTAGGCCACCCTCGTGCATTGACACTTTGGTTAGAAGAAACTGGGCCGAGTTGTGCCGAACTTCTCTTCGGTTTGCTCGGCAACGACTCCTTTTGGGTGTGAAATTTATCAAATTGAATAACTAGGATTGAGCACAATTATTGCCGAGCGAATTGAAGTCGATTTCGGCACAGTTTAGGCCACCCTCGTGCATTGACACTTTGGTTAGAAGAAACTCGGCCGAGTTGTGCCGAACTTCTCTTCGGTTTGCTCCGGCAAACGACCTCCTTTTTGGGTGTGAAATTAATCAATATTGAATAACTAGGATGAGCACAATTATTGCCGAGCGAGCGAACGGCGAGTTCGGCACAGGTTTAGGCCACCTCGTGCATTGACATCTTCTGGTTAGAAGAAACTCGGCCGAGTTGGGCCGAATTCTCTTCGGTTTTGCTCTGCACGACTCCTTTTGGGTGTGAAATTTATCATTAATGATAACTAGGATTAGAGCACAATTATTGCCGGAGCGAGCCGACAGGCTCGAGTTCGGCACAGTTTAGGCCATCCTCGTGGATTGACCACTTTGGTTAGAAAGAAGAAACTCGGCCGAGTTGTGCCGAACTTCTCTTCGGTTTGCTCGGCAACGACTCCTTTTGGGTATGAAATTTATCAAATTGAATAACTAGGTTTGAGCACAATTATTGCCAAGCGAGCCGATGGCGAGTTCGGCACAGTTTAAGCCACCCTCGTGCATTGACACCTTGGTTAGAAGAAACTGGGCCGAGTTGTGTCAAACTTCTCTTCGACTCGCTCGGCAACGACTCCTTTTGGGTATGAAATTTATCAAATTGAATAACTAGGATTGAGCACAATTATTGGCGAGCGAGCCGAAGGCGAGTTCGGCACAGTTTAGGCCACCCTCGTGCATTGACACTTTGGTTAGAAGAAACTCGGCCGAGTTGTGCCGAACTTCTCTTCGGTTTGCTCGACAACGACTCCTTTTGGGTGTGAAATTTATCAAATTGAATAACTAGGATTGAGCACAATTATTGCCGAGCGAGTTGAAGTCGATTTCGGCACAGTTTAGGCCACCCTCGTGCCTTATGACGCTTTGGTTAGTAGAATTGGTTTGAGTTGTGCCGAAATTCTATTCGGATTTAGAGACGATACCAAGACAGTTTCTGTTTGAGAATTTGGGGAAGATATCGAAAGGATTTCAAAAACTTTAAAAATATGATGAAGCGGTTTCAAGAAGTTCTATTTTATTTTAAAAAAGGTAACAAAAGGCAGGTTAAAAAGTATTTTGAGCTGGATTACACATAACCATAACACTTTTACAGTTCTGTCTTAACCTTTTTCATAAAATATTCATCTTCCCTGAAAGGAATCGTGTCCCAAAACGCACGATGGCCCAAATCCGCAGTTACTTCCATTCGAAGCTCATCGGGAGACTTGATGTGGAGGTACCGCAAATCATCCCCGGGATTTGGCGAGACTGGCTTCCAAGTGGCGCCCTTCAACTCTGGAATGCTAAAGAAACTCTAGTAACTACCATCAACTCTATTGAAATACAAAAAACCTTGTCTTTCCGAACGATCTCCACAGTCCCAGAAGAATGTCCTTCATTCTTTCATCACGGGTGGTCATCGCGGACGTTTGCCGGGAAGGTATCGAGAGAACGAACGCCATGTCATCGCCGTGAGATACGCCTGAAAGTAGAATTAAGAGTGTTGCTCGCTGGCCGGGTTCGGTTACCGTATTTCTTTTCGGAGAGGCTCCACAAGGCGGCGTAGGTGACGACCTTTTCGCCCATGTAGGTGAAGTAGTAGAAGTAAACTGGCGACTTGTTCGCTTTCGCTTGCAGCCTTGCCGATTTGTCGGCTGAGACCACGAAGTGCCTGTCACCGACCATCTGAAAGAGTGACAGGTTTTGTGAGTGGAAGGAGCGAGGCGCAAGTGACCTGGATCAGTTGGTTGTACGTCCCCGCACCAATCGGCTTGCCTTTCAGGTAGTACTCCTTCACCTTACGCGCGGTGCTGGTGTGCAGTTCTGCCGGAAGCGTGTGATTGTAATCCAAGATGGCCGATGCGAGTTCCTCCCATCTTCGTTCCAAGTCGGGTAGGTAGTGGTCCTTTACGGCGTAGTCTAAAGCAAGGATGGTGTTTCAGGAGGTAACCGATGATGGAAGCTTACCCGCGCCTGGGTAAAGGCCCTCGTCACAGGTGACCGAAGTGATCCAGGGGAGGTCCTGTACCTTTCCCTGGGACAACAACACGTACGGGTGGTCAGTGAGGAACGGATTGGCGCCGGTTTTTTCGATGACCACCCCGAAAGGCGCAAACGGATTGTACAGCCAAGGCCTAAACATTCGAACGCTCTCCACTACTTGGACGGCCGGTCTTTGTCTAAGACAGTTGACCAATTCGACGCTAGATGCCGTCGGGCAACCAAGCGAGGCCGCCACCCTTCGCGCCTTTTGCGCGGCATCCTCCTGCAGGGTCCACGCGCCCAACGCGTTGCCGCTCACCGAAATTCCACGATGAAATAGACCTACAACTCATTTTGAAAAAGCCTTAGCGACTCTTGAGCGGTAGACCTTTCGAGAGAGGGGAGAGGTAGTGGTAGTGCGTGCTTGCACCTCCAGCCGATAGACCCGTGACCGTTATCGAATCGGGATTTCCACCGAAATACGCGATATTCTCCTTGATCCACCGGAGCGAGGCCGACTGATCTTTCATTCCGTTATTTCCGGGAAGGACTTCGTCTTCCATGCTGAGAAAGCCTGCAAAAACGCACTAGAGTTTGCCTCCCGAAGTCGATCGCACCAAGAGCTCCCAAGCGATAATTCACTGTCACCAAAATTCCGCTTATGTCCATCAGGTACTTGGGGCCGTAAGAATTTCCGTATCCGAAGTTAAAGCCGCCGCTATGGAAGTGGACGAAGACGTCGAAGAGCTCTCGGCCGGTCGGATTTTTGGTCGGCGTGAAGATGTTGACGTACAAGCAGTCTTCTTGGCCCATGAGATTGCCGCCCTCAGGTTCGGGCGAGTGGTTGACCTGGAGGCACTGCGTCGAAACGTTTGCGTTCCAAGTTCCGGACCATTTTTCTAAGGGTTGTGGTTTCTGATGGGTAAGAGGATTAACATAAAAGTTTAAGGGATGAGGAAACTTACTGCGAACCGTAATTTTCCAATCGGAGGTTGAGCGTACGGCACTCCGATGAACTGCGAGTACTCCAGTCCATTGTAGGATACATCGTAAGTTCCTTGCACTTCACCGTAGGGGGTTTGCACTCGTGGTAAGTGGGTGGGTGCTACCAGAAGGGGCACTGCAAAACCAACTCGACATGAATAAAGCAGAAGGAAACGGGTAGGCATCTCTATCGGAGGCAGGGCCGACAAGGAGGCATAAGGATCAAACAGAGATAAGGCCGGATAATTAGAACAGAGAAGAAGAGACAGGCGAGAAATGAGAGAAAGAAGCAGTTGAAACTGAAACAGAAGCGGCGAACGTAGGATTCATAGAAAGCAAGAGTAGGAAGAGGTGGAACATAATGCCGAAAAGGAACAAATAAGTGCTGAAATTAAACCGAATATACCCGATCACGATAAGAGGCCGAGGAGGAGGGTTATGGTTGGTAGAAATTAATTCCTTTCGTTGAGAACTCGCTTTCATTAGAAAAGTACCATGAAGGATAAAACTAGTTTCCACACTCCCCCCCCCCCCTCCACCCCCGTACTTTGATAAAGAAGGACTAAAAAGAAGGGCAGTAGTTGGTAAGAAAACGGAGTTCCTTATCGTTGAGACGCTTTCATTAGAATACCATGAAGGGTAGAATCATGTGTTTACCCCCCCCACCCCCCCCCCCCCCCTTTCTGACAGTTCACTCGACACCAACTAAAAGCATGCGTATGCAAAATTCTAAGAAACCATGTGTATTGGTCGTATGGTAAAAGTTTGACACGCTTTACTTTTCAAACACAGCATCTCTAGGGAGAGATACCGTAGGGGGGGGGGGGGACTTTTAGACAGATAAAATTTGATGGCCGTCTGGCACACCTTCAAGGTATAGGCAACCTGCTGCAAATTCCAGGACTCGAGGACCTTTCTCCTAGAAGTAGTTCGAAACGGAAGAAGTGGGCCCGGACGGACGGACGGACAGACGGACAAAACGCAAACAATAGCATACTTGTTTTAATTTTTAAAAAATGCGCTAAAAAGAGGAAGAGAGGACAGGCGAGGGGTTCGAGAAAGAAACAAGTGACACAGAAACATAAGTGGACGTAGTTTGTGAAAAGAAAAAAAGAGTAGGAGGGTAGGAGGGTAGGAGGGTAGGAGAAAGTGAAAAATAAAGTCAAACGGCAAAAATTAAAACGAGAATGGGAAGAAACGGAATGGGAAAGGAAATGGATGGAGAAAAGGGACCTAAAATGGAAAATGAAGCTGCAAATAGTACAGAAACAGGAGAGTTCAGAGTGAAACGGATGTATGAGATTTAAAGAAGAGGGAGGAGGAAGGGCAGACAGTGCGTGAAAGAAACAGTTGAAACGGAAACGGAAGACGTAGGTTTCGCAAAAGGGGAAAAGGAAAGTATTGATAAATGTAACCCAAAGAGAAGGGAGAGAGATTCTAAACTAAAACAGGTGTAGAAGGGAGACCTGCAATGGAAACTGACGCGTACGTTAGGACTAATAAAAAGAAAGAGGAGTAGAGAAAGGAGGAAGATCAAATCAAAAAGGAGAAAAGGTAAATTGATGGAATGGGAAGAATCGAATAAACGATTAAGGATAGGCGAAAGGCGGACAAAGAAGCTGTCCTCATTAAGAGCTGAAATAAAAACTGAAACGGAAGTGGGTAAAGGAACAGGAAAGAGAAGCGGGTCCATGAAAAGAAAAAAAAGCAGAATGAGAAGAAAAAGAAAAAGAAAAGGAAGAGAAAGGGGAAAGGAGGAGGAAGTTGAAATAGAAGCAGAAGTGAGAGCAAAATACATAAAAGAAAAATGCGTGGGAAAAAGTAAAAAATAAAGTCGAAAAAGAAAAAAGAAATTAAAATGAGAAGAAACAGAAACAGTCTCAAAGAATAGAAAAACGAGAGAAAAAGAAAGAGGCAATGGGGAGCTGAAATAAAGCTGAAACGGAAGTGAGTAAAGGAACTGGAGAGCCTAGAGTGAAACGGAGGTATGGGAATAGCAAAAGGCATAAAAAAAAAGAGAAAAAGGAAGAAGCGAAGAATTCAAGAAGGAGAGAGTCGAAACGATGGAAGGTAAAGGCGAAAATATAAAATAAGATAAATAAAATGGGAAGAAACAGAGTAGACGGTGGGTAAAGGAAAAGGGAAGAGGAACGGGTTCATGGAAAGAAAAAAAAGTAGAATGAGAAGAAAAGGAAGAGAGAGGGGAAAGGAGGAGGAAGTTGAAATAGAAGCAGAAGTGAGAGTAGAATACATAAAAGAAAAAATGAGTGGGAAAAATTAAAAAATAAAGCCGAAAAAGAAAAAAACGAATTAAAGTGAGAAGAAACAGAAACAGTCTTAAAAAATAGAAACACGAGAGAAAAAGAAAGAGGCAATGGGGAGCTGAAATAAAGCTGAAGCGGAAGTGAGTAAAGGAACTGGAGAGCCTAGAGTGAAACGGAGGTATGGGAATAGCAAAAGAGCATAAAAAAAAGAGAAAAAGGAAGAAGCGAAGAATTCAAGAAGGAGAGAGTCGAAACGATGGAAGGTAAAGGCGAAAATATAAAATAAGATAAATAAAATGGGAAGAAACAGAGTAAAAGGTGGGTAAAGAAAAAGGAAAGAGGAGCGGGCTCGTGAAAAGAAAAAAAAGTAGAATGAGAAGAAAAAGAAAAGGAAGAGAAAGGGGAAAGGGGAAAGGAGGCGGAAGTTGAAATAGAAGCAGAAGTGAGAGTAGAATACATAAAAGAAAAAATGAGTGGGAAAAAGTAAAAAGTAAAGTCGAAAAGGAGAAAAAGGAATTAAAGTGAGGAGAAACGGTTTCAAAAGCCACTCGTGGGAAATTGAAAGAAGGCCGAAAAGAAAAAAAACAATTGGAATGTGTGGAAGTAGGAACGGGCGAGGAAAAGAAAGGAGATCCGCAATGGAAACTGAAACGGGCGTAAGGTTCATGAAAAAGGAGGGGAGTGGGAACAGGTGAGAGATAATGTCGAAAAGGAGGAAAGCATAAATACAATTGAAAGAGATAGAAAAGGGGACAGAAAAACTGAATCGAAAGTTAGTAAGGAAACATGAGGGTTAAGAGCAACACGGAAAAGTAAGATAAGGAAAGATCAAGAGGGGAAGGGCGAAGAATGCATCAAAACACGTGAAATGGAAGCACAAGCGGAGGTAGAGGAAGTGGACTGAAAAGAAACAGAACATGGGGGGATAAGAATGAGGAAAGAAGATCTGAAAGCGAAACTAAACCAAAGAAAGCAGAAAGAGTAACAAAGAGATCATAGAGAAATGCAAAGTAGACAATCAGGAGTAACACAAAATGAAGGAAAAGAAGGGAAAAGGGGATTTTAAACGGAAAGTAGAAAAATGAAATTCAGAGGTAGAGAAAGGTAAACTGGGGAAAATCAAAGGGAGGAAGCTGAAAAATGATGTGCGTCAGAGGAAGAAGGGTGGAAAAAAGGAAAAGAGCATATTCAAGCAGGTGCAGAACTAGAAAGGAGTAGGAGAGTAGAGGAAAATAAGATGGAGGAAGAGGAAACTTATTAAGAAGAAAAAGAAAAATAAGAGAAAATATAAAAACAGTAAGCAAGGGAAAATAGGTGAAAGGGAAAGAGATGATTAGAATAAGAGCAGAAGAGAAAAGAAGAAAAGCAGAACAAGAGAATGCAGACACGGGTGAAGCAGGGGACACTCAAGTGAAAAGAAATGAACCCCACAGGTAGGTGATGCCTAGAAAGGGAAACTAACGAGGAAAGGAAAAGAAGAATAGAGGAAAATAAAGTAGAAGAGAAAAAATCACAACAGGAAGAGGCGTAAGAGAAAGAAGAACAGATACACAAAGTAAGATGAGGTGAGGGAAGGGAATGGGAAGGAAAAAATCACGAAACGAAGAGTGGAAGGATTAAAATGAGACGAAACAGAGGAAAATAAGGGGCAAAGAAAAGAATGTAGACCTGAAATAGAAACCAAAGTGCAAGTCAGAAAAAAGAGAAGTGGAACGGATGTATGGATATAAGGAAGACTATGAGAAGAGAGAAAATTCGTAAAAAAACAGTTAATAAAAAGAAAATGAAACTAAAAAAAAAATAAAAAAAAGAAACAAAAAACAGGGAAAATAAGAAGATGGGAGTTAGTAAAGAAGGGTATGGCAATAGTAGAAGACAGTAAGAAACAATTGAAATGGAAAAAGGGGCCAATGAAGGGTTTCAAAAAGAAATAGAAGAAAAACAGAAAAGAGAAAGGCAAAGAAAATGGAAAGATATAGTTGCTTACATGGGAAATCCCAGGGAACCTCTAAATGGGGCACAGGAAAACTTACCGAGGAGAAATACAACCGAATAGCACACACACAGGTTCATGGTACAACTAATCCGTTCAACGGTCAGCAACAATTTTGATAAAATCGGTCACTCACAGTTTCTTCTCTAAACTGACATTTGAACTCAGTTTAAAAGGTCATAAATCAGTAACCGGCTTTGTTATTATGATCAGAATTAGATTATTCGGGTTATTGCAACATTTGAATGCCCTCGGCTTCCCTGTAGCGCGCTCTAAGGATCCCTTATGGTATCTATAAGGCTTTCCAGGTATAGGAAAATGTATTAGATCGATAGAGCTTATCCAAAAACACTATTGGAAACTTATTAAACCGTTTTAGAACTTGTTTAGAACCTCTCAGAACCCTACGACATTTGGACGAACCGTCAGGCCGGAAAACATTTGAAGAACGTGAAGAGCTTGAGAAGCTTATTTTTATCCTTCTTTTCCCTTTCCTTTATTCTGTTTCTTCCCATTTTATTTATCTTATTTTTATTTTCACCTTTACCTTCCATCGTTTCGACTGTCTCTTTCTTGAATTCTTCGCTTCTCTCTTTATTCTCTTTTTTTATGCTCTTTTGCTATTCCCATCCCACAGTTTCACTCTAGGCTCTCCGGTTCTTTTACTTACCTCCGCTTCAGCTTTATTTCAGCTCCCCATTGCCTCTTTCTTTTTCTCTCGTGTTTCTATTCTTTGTTTCTTCTCACTTTAATTCCTTTTTTCTTTTTCGATTTTATTTTTTACTTTTTCCACTAATATCATGTATTCTCCGCTCACGTCTGCTTCTATTTCAACTTTTTCCTCCTTTGGCTCATTTCTCTTCATTTTCTTTTCCTTCTCATTCTGATTTTCATTTTCATGAACCCGCTCCTGTTTCTGTTTTAACCGTATCTCTCACCCACACTTTCTGGTATTTCCATACTTCACCCTCAGTTCTCCTTTTCCTTTACTAACTTCCGCTTCAGTTTCTATTTCAGCTCAAAGGAAGACAGCTTCCCTGTCCCCCTTTCTCCTCTACTTTCATCGTCCTTTTCGTTTCTTCCCATTCCATTTATCTTTTCTCCTTTTTGATTATGACTTTTTTCCTACTCTTCTTCCTTTTTATGAACTCCGCGCCAGTTTCCATTGCAGGTCTCCCTTCTACATCTGCTTTAGTTTATATTTCCTCTCCCTTTTCTTTGGGCTTATTTTAATCATTTCTTTCCCTCTCACCTATTTTCCCTTGCTTACTGTTTTTATATTTTCTCTTATTTTGTTTTTTCTTCCTAAGTTTCCTCTTCCTCCATCTTATTTTCCTCTACTCTCCTACTCGTTTTTAGTTCTGCAACTGTTTGAATATACTCTTCCTTTTCCTTTTTTTCCACCCTTCTTCCTCTGATGCAGATAATATTTCGCTTCCTCCCTTTGATTTTCCCCAGTTAACCTTTCTCCATCTATCAATTTCATTTTTTTACTTTCCGTTTAAAATCCCCTTTACCCTTCTTTTCCTTTCCTTCGTTTTTTATTACTCCTGATTGTCTACTTATATTTACCTTTCTCTATACCCTCTTTGTTACTCTTTCTGCTTTCTGTCGTTTAGTTTCGCTTTCAGACCTTCTTTCCCCATTATTATCCTCTCCATGTTCTGTTTCTTTTCAGTCCACTTCCCTTCTTCGGCTTTTTAATTTTTTTAATTTTTATTTTTGAGTGGGCGGGGTTTCAGCCAAGGCTGCTCTACCAACCCACCCCGCTATACATTTACAAATATCCATGCCCGAACCCGGATTCGAACCAGGGACCCTTATTACCACAATTCAGCTTTAACTGAACTGCGTCAATAACTTTCACGGGTGGTCGATTCCTTTAGGAATATTAAAATTATGTCAAACAATATTCCTTATGCACATTCCTAAAAATAACCGACCACTAAACTTTATACAACATAAGTCCAGCTTTAACTGAACTGCGCCATACGGGCCTTTCCGAGAACACACCTCCGCTTGTGCTTCCGTTTCAAGTGTTTTTTAATGCATTCTCCGCCCTTCCCCTCTTGATCTTTCCTTATCTTCCTATTCCGTGTCGCCCTTACCTCTCATGTTTCTTTACTAACTTTCGATTCAGTTTTTATGTTCCCTTTTCTGCCTTTTCTATCTTTCACCTGTTCCTACTCCCCTTCTTTTTCATGAACCTTACGTCCGCCTCAGTTTCCATTGCAGATCTCCTTTCTACTCCTTTCTCCTTTCTTTTCCTCGCCCGTTCCTACTTCCACACATTCTAATGGGGTTTTGTGTCTTTTCGGCCTTCTTTCATTTTCCCTTTTCCTCGCCGTTTTCGTGAACTGTATCCTCACATCCGTTTCTGCCACCTCTCTTCCAGTACTCTTCTGCGCTTCACCCTCATCTCTTCATTTACTGACCTCCGCTTCAGTTTCCTTCTTCTCCCAGTTTTCTTCACCGATTTCTACTTCTTTCGATTACCTATACTCTTTTTTGTCTTCTTCAGCTTTATCTTTCTTTGTTTGGTACTCTTTCTCGGAACCCCCCTTCTCTCTCTCTCGCTTATGCTCTTTTTCTATTCCCATACCTCCGTTTCACTCTAGGCTCTCCGGTTCTTTTACTATAACTTTCGCTCCTGTTTTATTTCAGCTCTACATGCTCTTCTTGCCTATTCTTTTTCTCTCGTTTTTATGTTCTTTTAGACTCTCTCTCATCTATTTTTTATCTACCCCTCTTGCTCTTAAAGAACCCTGTGTTAGGTTTCCGTTTCAACTGCTTCTTTCACGTATTTTCCTATTTTCCTTTCTTCACCTCTGCTTCTATTCCAAATTCCTCCTCATTTCCCCTCTCGCTTCCTTTTCTTTTTCTTTTTCTTCTCATTCTACTCGTTTTTCTTTTCATGAACCCGCTCCTGTTTCCTTTTCCTTCACCCACTTCCGTTTCAGTTTTTATTTCAGCTCAAAGGAGGACAGCTTTGTCCGCCTATCGCCTCTCCTTCATCGTCTTTTTCGATTCTTCCCATTCCATTTACCTTTTCTCCTTTTTGATTTTATCTTCCTCCTTTTCCTACTCCTCTTCCTTTTTATTAGTTCTACGTCCGCGTCAGTTTCCATTGCAGGTCTCCCTTCTACACCTGCTGTAGTTTATATTTTCTCTCCCTGTTCTTTGGGTTACATTTATCAATACTTTCCTTTTCCCCTTTTGCGAAAACTGAAGTCTTCTGTTTCGGTTTTAACTATTTCTTTCACGCACTGTCTGCCCTTTCTCCCCCCCCCCCTTCTTTAAATCTCATACATCCGTTTCACTCTGAACTCTCCTGTTTCTGTATCATTTTCAGCTTCATTTTCCATTTTAGATCTCTTTTCCATCCTTTTCCTTCCCCATTCCGTTTCTTCCCATTCTCGTTTTCATTTTTGCCGTTTTACTTTATTTTTCACTTTCTCCTACTTTCCTACTCTTTTTTTCACAAACTACGTCCACTTATGTTTCTTTCTCGTACCCCTCGACTGTCCTCTCTTCCTCTTTTTTTGTACTTTATGGGTTTATTTCTTTTGCCTTTATCATCATCTTTCTTCCTTTCTCTTCATCTGTTGTTTCTTTTCCTGCTGCTCTCTGCCCTCGTCTCATTCCTTTTATTTCTATTATCTTTCGTACCCTTTTCTCAGTTTCATCCTCTACTTTTTTGCTTTTGTCTTGTAATTTCATTTCTTTTCTTCTTTTTTCCTCCCTAACCCATATTTCTTCATGTATCTCACTTTCCTTTGTTGACAATTTGGTTTTAATTCCCTCTTCTCTTCTTTCTCCTTCTATCAGTGTTCTTCTGTTCTTTTTCTCTTTTTTTTGTTTTTCATCTTTCATTTTCCTTTCTACGTTCATTCCTTTACTTTCTTCACTTCCTCTTGCTTCATCGTCCTTCTTCTAATTCTCATTATATTCGTCTTCCTTTTTTTGCACTTCTCTTTTTAGCACTATTGTTTGCGTTTTGTCCGTCCGTCCGTCCGGATCCACTTCTGCCGTTTCGAACTACTTCTAAGACAATGGTCCTAGAGTCCTGGAATTTTTTACAGTAGGTAGCCTATGCCTTGAAGGTGTGCCAGACTGTCATCAAATTTCGCTGTCTAAAAAAGCCCCCCCCCCCACACGAATTATTTCCTGAGATGCTGTTTTTGAAAGTAAAACGCGTATAACTTTTACATGCGACAACGAATTGATCTCAGATTTTGGATACGCATGTCTCTAGCGGTGCCAAATTAAACTTTAGGAAATGGGGGGGGGGGGGTAACCCATGTTCTACCCTTCATGGTATTCTAGTAAAAGGTCTCATCGAAATAAATTGGTTTGTACAAACTATAACTTTCTCGTGTTTCGAGATCAGTGAGCGACGGGACTTGGGGGGGGGGGGGGGGTTAAAAATTAATTATATCTCTCATTGTATTCTAATTAAAGGTCTCAACGCAAGGGACCGTTTTCTACCAACTACTGCCCTTCCTTCCGTCCTCTTATCAAATTACGGGGTGGAGGAGGAGAAGGCAGGGGAGTAGAACTAGTTTTATCCTTCATGGTACTCTAATAAAAAGTCTCAACGAAAGGAATTAATTTCTACCAACCATAGCCCTCCTACTCGACCTCTTATCGTGATCGGGCAAATTCCCTTATACCTCAAGAACGGATTGTTGGAAGAGGGCGCTCACAAAGGGCAATTGAGACGTTTGCAAGAAATACGCCCTCATTCAAAATGCCCTATGACTATTTTCTACGGAGTGCGGTCAAGAGAGATTTAACACAAAAAGTTTTTAGGCCCGAAATTCTTGGGGGCGATGGCAGCACCGTTGGCGTAATACCGCTCAGCACAAAGGAATCGGTTACGGAAAAGATCCATTAAATCGTGGGGGTATATACCCCCCTCCCGGGGGGGGGGGGCTGATTAATTTGAGCGCGATGGTAGCACCGGGGAGCCTGGGGCGTATTCAATCATTTACCTTTTCTAAAAAAAACTGCGGAATCTCCCCTCAGAAATTGTCATTGAAGTGGTATAACAATGTCGGGGCAGAAGGTTGTACACAGTGCTCGGGAGAGCTAAGCTAGGATGTAATGATTTCCAAAAGGTTTTTTTCAAGCGGATTTTGAGGAAAATATTTCATAAATCCAAAAGATTCAAAAAATTTTCATGGGATCTGCGAAGTAAGATAAGAGGATTCTTTAATAGATCCTTCAAAAGTATGATTGTTGTTTGTTTACAAATTTTACAATTCGTCTTTGACGGCTTTGCCAAAATTTTCATCCTCCCGGAAAGGTATCTTGTCCCAAAAGGCACGATTGCCAAAATCCTCCGGCGACTCCAACTCCATGTCTTCGGGCGAGTTAATGCGGAGGTAGTGCAACTGCTCGTCCGAGACCGGCTCCCATTTGACATCGTCCACTTTGGGCACGCTAAAAGATTTTTTGCAGACGTTGACTTCAAGGGAGAACTCACCCGCCGTGAGCGAACGACTTCCACATGTCGATGAAGATGTCTTTCATTTTTTCGTCTCGCGATGTCATCTTGGAGAGCTTGCGTTGGGTGCTTGAAAAGACGAAAGCCAGATCGTCACCGTGGGAGACACCTACAAGGGCGATGATCATCGGGGCGGTACTTCAGCGTGCTTACCGTATCTGTGTTCAGACGTGCTCCATAGGGCAGCAAATGTCCCGACTTTCTCCCCCATGTAGTTGAAGTAGTAGAAGTAGACGGGAGATTCATTTTTGTCCGCTTGCAGTTTTGATGCCTTCTCCGCGGACGCGAAGAAGTGTCTGTCTCCGATCATCTGCAAGGTAAATGTCGAGAGTGCATTATCCGAACCATACTCACTTCCACAAGGTCGTCGAAAGTCGCAGGCGAGATGTCCTCGCCCTTCAAGTAGAACTCCTTCACCAGTTCGGCGACCCGTGAGTGCAAATGGGGCGAAAGCGTGTAGTTATAATCCAAAACTGCAGGTGCCAGTTCTTCCCATCTCTCCTCCAAATCGTCAAGGTAATGGTCCTTTAGGAGGAAATCTAAGAAGTGTAAAGTGCTGAGAAGTAAGTAGTGTAGAATTAGGTTACCTGCAGCCGGGTAGAGACCCTCTGCGGACGCGACCGACGTAAGCCACGGAAGATCGAGTACATTCCCCTGGCTCAACAAGACGTAAGGGTGCTCGTTCAAGAAGGCGCCATCCCCACTCTTCTCCACGACTATTCCAAAGGGTGAAAATGGATTGTACAGCCACGGTCTAAACATTCGAACACTGTCGACGATTTGCACGGCCGGCCTGTCCTTGAGACACTTGAGCAGCTCCTCACTGGGCGACGTAGGGCAACCAAGCGCGGCTGCCAACCTGTGCGCCTTCTCCCTCGCATTCTCCTGCAAGCTCCACGGCGCCAGCGCAGTACCACTCACTGATATCCCTCTGTGAAACAACCCTGCAACGTGATTGGTCAATTATAACGCGCGAGCTTGCCGCAACAACCTTTGGACAGCGGGGAAAGGTAGTGGTAATGTACGCTGGCGCCACCTGCCGAGAAACCCGAAATTGTAATCGACTCAGGATTGCCGCCGAAATACTCCACGTTTTCTTTGATCCACTTCAACGCGGCAGATTGATCCTTCATGCCGACGTTTCCCGGAATCACCTCGTCCTCGGCGCTGAGGAAACCCAAAGGGCCCAGCCGGTAGTTGATCGTAACCAAAACGACGTCGGCGTCCATCAAATACCCCGGTCCGGCGTAGCAGTCCAGGCCCCCGAAGTTGAACGCACCGCCGTGAATGTGCACGATAACATCGTGTGGACCTTTCGCGTGGGGCACGAAAATATTGAGGTATAGACAGTCTTCTTGGCCTAAAATCGAGCGTCATCTACGACTGTTACGATCGGGAGAACTCTACCTTCCAAGATGCCTCCCTCGGGCTCGGGCTGGTGATTCACTTGGATGCAGTGCGTTGAGAAGTTCGCGTTCCAAATTCCACTCCATTTCTCCAAAGGTTGTGGTACCTGCAAATTGCATTGCTTTGGATACTTACACGGCGCCGGCGGCACGAAAGTTACCTCGAATCTTAGATCTCCAATGGGCGGCTCCGCGTAGGGCACTCCCAAAAACTGGGAAAACTGTTTTCCGTTGTAGGAAGTGCCGTAGATTCCCTGAATTTCGCCGTAGGGTGTCTTGACTCGCGGTTGGGTGACGACAACCGCTACGTAAAACGCTAAAATACCGAACTCTTAAAAGCCCTCTCCTTAAAACTTTTGAAAGCTAATTAGCTTCAAGATAAGCACTCTCTCATTACAATTTTCGGTAAGACGTCATTGAACGTGTCACCGGTGGGTCTCTAAGAGTATTTTATATGAGTAATGCTGATAATGGTTATTGTAGGGAATCGTTCATCGAAGGGAGGGGGGAGGGTCAGATTTAACTATAGACCAAAGATCTCGGTTAGACCATCGATGTTGGGGTAACGAAAACGCTTAACATCGGGGTAATTGAACCATCAAAAAGTGATTGGATGCGCCCCGTTTTGATAGTTCTAAAGTCAGGTGTTAAATACTATCGTTTTTGTGGGGATTTTGAGGTCCTAAACCGGGTTACCAAAAAAGCCGCTTACCCGCTACCATACGTTACCGCAATTTTAGATAGGCTTCGCGGTGCAAAATTTTTGAGCACGATGTATATCAAATCTGCCCATTGGCAAATTTCCATTAAGGGATCTAACTCTCAATAAAGGTGGTAAGTCCTACAATCAAGGTGCAGATCCTATTTATAAACAAAGGGTAACTTATTTAGCACTATAACGGGTAAATTGTGAGGTTGCTTGAAGAAACTAATGATTATGACTCAAGCTCACTCACCAAGAAGTCCAATAACGTTGCACCAACCCATATCCATCACGAATGTCGATAATTTCCCGTAGTCCTTGGTGTCGAGCTTTCCTTATCGACAAACCGCATGAATTTCTGATTTCCAATAGTGTCGTTGATCTCAAATATGCAAATATTTGTTTAATCAGTCTAAATCCCACTTCCTTCGTAAACATAATCATTAGGTGATTGTGGGGACTAATTAGTACCCAATTATCATGAAAAACAGTTATTAATCGATGAATAATATCAACAAGCCTTTGGATTTAGTCAGAAATTGAAACATTTTTATGGGGGCGTTGCTTCAACCCCTCACCTTAGCCTCCCTGCTTTTAGGGTATATCCCCGAAAGCTGGAGAATGGTAAGAGTTGTGTAGCTACCTAATCTGGGTCGTGCCAAATATGACATGGCGAAGTATTAAAGGTCCATCATCGTTTCTTCTGAAAACGGTGGTAAAGCTGGTGGAAGCATACATAAGGAATAGGGTACTGGTCCCAAGACCACTACTTCCATTCCAACAGGTTACAGGTTACAGAAGCATCCATCCTCACTATTAATAAAAGATCTCCGCAGGGTAGAGTGCTGTTGCTAGACGGAATCCTCCGCACTCTGAACGAGGACGGAGCGTATGCAGAGGGATACGCGGACGATCTCGCGATCAACACCGTGAAAGAGCAACGCAACGGAACTAGGCCCCGCTGCTCCGGTGGAGCCCTCTCCTGTATCTGGCGCAGCCGGAGCACACACTGCTTGCTCTGGCAACCCGGACACAAATCAACCTCGAAAATTATACTTTGAGCTGTATGGGTGATCGCGCTCTTAGACCAAACCCGAATTAATCCAAAACTCTCACTAATGATCCTACCTAGTCTTTTTTTACGAAATGGCTTCTTATTAACGAAAACGGCCAACTTTAGTCAATTGAATGGCGAAAAGTTTCGTTTAAGGTTCGAGTTTTGAGGTTTTTAGATTCAAAACCGAAGACTTAAGGGATCGATCATACCGAAGATTGAGGATAGAAGATTATCGTACAGGATTTCGACCCAAGGTTAAGAACCAAGGTACAAATGAGACCGAAAACCGACTGCTATGAAAATTGAAGATTGATCATCTTGAGAGTACTGAAGACACTGGAAGCTGAAGACACTCAAGTAACTCAAAACATCCAAGATACTCAAGACAACCAAGACACCCAAGACACCCAAGACACCCAAGACACCCAAGACACCCAAGACACCCAAGACACCCAAGACACCCAAGACACCCAAGACACCCAAGACACTCAAGACACTCCACACACTCCAGGCATCCAAGACACCCATGACAGCCATGACAACCATGACACCCATGACACCCAAGACACCCTAAATACCCCAGACACACAAGACACGCAAGACACTCAAGACACTCAAGACATCCAAGACACCCAAGGCACCCAAGACACTCTCAAGACGCTCAAGACTCCCAAGACGCCCAAGACGCTCAAGACACCCAAGACGCCCAAGACACCAAAGACACCCAAGACACTCAAGACACCCACAACATTCTCAAGACGCTCAAGACGCTCGACGCTCAAGACACCCAAGACACCCAAGACACTCTCAAGACGCACAAGACTCCAAAGACGCCCAAGACGCTCAAGATGCTCAAGACATCCCAGACAACCTAGACACCCCAGACACCCTAGACACCCCCGACACCCAAGACACCGAAGACGACCAAGACACCCAAGACACCCAAGACAACGAAGACACCCAAGACACTCAAGACACCCACAACATTCTCAAGACGCTCAAGACGCTCGACGCTCAAGACACCCAAGACACCCAAGACACTCTCAAGACGCACAAGACTCCAAAGACGCCCAAGACGCTCAAGATGCTCAAGACATCCCAGACAACCTAGACACCCCAGACACCCTAGACACCCCCGACACCCAAGACACCGAAGACGACCAAGACACCCAAGACACCCAAGACACTCTCAGGACGCTCAAGACTCCCAAGACGCCCAAAGCGCTCAAGACGCTCAAGACACCCAAGACACCCAAGACAACCAAGACAACCAAGACGCTCTAGACGCTCAAGACGCTCAAGACACCCAAGACACCCAAGACAACGAAGACACCCAAGACAACGAAGACACCCAAGACACTCAAGACACCCACAACATTCTCAAGACGCCCAAGACGCTAAAGACGCTCGACGCTCAAGACACCCAAGACACCCAAGACACTCTCAAGACGCACAAGACTCCAAAGACGCCCAAGAAGCTCAAGATGCTCAAGACACCCAAGACACCCTAGACACCCTAGACACCCCAGACATCCTAGACACCCCCGACACCCAAGACGCCCAAGACACCGAAGACGACCAAGACACCCAAGACATCCAAGACACCCAAGACATCCAAGACATCCAAGACACCTAAGACACCCAAGACACCCAAGACACTCTCAAGACGCTCAAGACTCCCAAGACGCCCAAGACGCTCAAGACGCTCAAGACGCTCAAGACGCTCAAGACACCCAAGACACTCTCAAGACGCACAAGACTCCAAAGACGCCCAAGAAGCTCAAGATGCTCAAGACACCCTAGACACCCCAGACATCCTAGACACCCCCGACACCCAAGACACCCAAGACACCCAAGACACTCTCAAGACACTCAAGACTCCCAAGACGCCCAAGACGCTCAAGACACCCAAGACGTCCAAGACACCCAAGACACCCAAGACACTCTCAAGACGCACAAGACTCCAAAGACGCCCAAGAAGCTCAAGATGCTCAAGACACCCAAGACACCCCAGACATCCTAGACACCCAAGACACCGAAGACGACCAAGACATCCAAGACACCCAAGACGCCCAAGACACCCAAGACACTCTCAAGACGCTCAAGACTCCCAAGACGCCCAAGACGCTCAAGACACCCAAGACGTCCAAGACACCCAAGACACCCAAGACACTCTCAAGACGCTCAAGACTCACAAGACGCTCAAGACGCTCAAGACGACCAAGACACCCAAGACACCCAAGACATCCAAGACACCCAAGACACCCAAAACTCTCAAGACTCCCAAGACGCCAAAGACGCCCAAGACGCCTAAGACGCTCAAGGCGCTCAAGACGCTCAAGTCGCTCAAGACACTCAAGACACTGGAAAGCACTGGAAGACTGTGGAAAACACTGGAAGACAGTGGAAAGCAATGGAAGACACTGGAAGATACTGGAAGACTGTGGAAAACACTGGAAGACACTGGAAGATATTGAAAGACACTGGAAGACAATGGAAAACAATGGAAGACACTGGAAGACACTTGAAGATACTGGAAGAAACTGGAAGACAGTGGAAAACACTGGAAAACACTGGCAGACACTGGACGACACTGGAAGGCAGTGGAAAACACTGAAAGACACTGGAAGGCACAGGAAGACACTGGAAGACAATGGAAAGCACTCGAAGAAACTGAAAGACACTGGAAGATACTGGAAGACACTGGAAGACACTGGAAGGCAGTGGAAAGCACTCGTAGACAGTGAAAGACACTGGAAGACACTGGAAGACACTGGAAGACACTGGAAGACACTGGAAAACACTGGAAGACACTAGCAGACAATGGACGATACTGGAAGATACTGGAAGACCCTGCAAGACAGTGGAAAACACTGTAAAACACTGGCAGACACTGGAAGACACTGGACGACACTGGAAGGCACTGGAAGGCAGTGGAAAACCCTGAAAGACACTGGAAGGCACTGGAAGACTGTGGAAAACACTGGAAGACACTGGAAGATATTGAAAGACACTGGAAGACAGTGGAAAACACTGAAACACACTGAAAGATACGGGAAGACAGTGGAAAACAATGGAAGACACTGGAAGACGCTGGAAAACACTGGAAAACAATGGGAGACACTGGAAGGCACTGGAAAGCACTCGAAGACACTGGAAGACACTGGAAGATACTGGAAGACACTGGAAGACACTGGAAGGCACTGGAAGACACTGGAAGACACTGGAAGACAGTGGATAACACTGGAAGATACTGGCAGACACTGGAAGACGCTGGAAGACACTGGAAGGTACTGGGAGACATAGGAAAATAGTCGAAAACGTTGGAAGATACTGGAAGACACTGGAAGTCAATGGAAGGCAATGGAAGGCAATGGAGGATACTGGAAAGCACTGGAAGACACTGGAAGGTCCTGGGAGACAGTGGAAAACAATGGAAGACACTGGAAGACGCTGGAAGGTACTGAAAGGCACTGGAAAACACTGGAAAATACTGGAAGATACTGGTAGACAGTGAAAACACTGAAAGACACTGGAAGGCAGTGGAGAGCACTCGAAGACACTGAACTACATTGGAAGATACTGGAAGACACTGGAAGACACTGGAAGACACTGAAAGGCACTGGACAGCACTGGAAGATACTGGAAGGCACTGGAAGACAGTGGAAAACACTGGAAGATTCTGGAAGGTACTGAAAGGCACTGGAAGATACTAGAAGACACTGAAGGACACTGGAAGACACTGGAAGGTACTGGAAGATAATGGAAGACATTGGAAGACACTGGAAGACAGTGAAAACACTGGAAGACAGTGAAAACACTGGAAGACAGTGAAAACACTGTGAGGCACTGTAAGGCAGTGGAAATCACTGGAAGACTGTGGAAAACACTTGAAGACACTGGAAGGCACTGGAAGACAGTGGAAAACAATGGAAGACACTGGAAGGCAGTGGAAAGCACTCGAAGACAGTGAAAGACACTGGAAGACACTGGAAGATACTGGAAGACACTGGAAGATACTGGAAGACACTGGAAGACACTGGAAGACACTGGAAGACACTGGAAGACAGTGGAAAACACTGGAAGACACTAGCAGACAATGGAAGATACTGGAAGGTAGTGGAAGACACTGGAAGACTGTGGAAAACAATGGAAGACACTGGAAGATACTGGAAGACCCTGGAAGACAGTGGAAAACACTGATAGACATTGGAAAGCACTGGAAGACTATGGAAAACACTGGAAGACACTGGAAGATATTGAAAGACACTGGAAGGCACTGGAAGGCAGTAGAAAACACTGATAGACACTGGAAAGCACTGGAAGACTATGGAAAACACTGGAAGACACTGGAAGATATTGAAAGACACTGGAAGACAGTGGAAAACACTGAAACACACTGGAAGACACGGGAAGACAGTGGAAAACAATGGAAGACACTGGAAGACGCTGGAAAACACTGGAAGACAATGGGAGACACTGGAAGGGACTGGAAAGCACTCGAAGACACTGGAAGATACTGGAAGACACTGGAAGATACTGGAAGGCACTGGAAGGCACTGGAAGACACTGGAAGACAGTGGATAACACTGGAAGATACTGGCAGACACTGGAAGACGCTGGAAGACACTGGAAGGTACTGGGAGACATAGGAAAATAGTCGAAAACGTTGAAAGATACTGGAAGACACTGGAAGTCAATGGAAGGTAATGGAAGGCAATGGAGGATACTGGAAAGCACTGGAAGACACTGGAAGGCCCTGGAAGACAGTGGAAAACAATGGAAGACACTGGAAGACGCTGGAAGGCACTGAAAGGCACTGGAAAACACTGGAAAACACTGAAAGACACTGGAAGGCAGTGGAGAGCACTCGAAGACACTGAAATACATTGTAAGATACTGGAAGACACTGGAAGACACTGGAAGGCACTGGACAGCACTGGAAGATACTGGAAGGCACTGGAAGACAGTGGAAAACACTGGAAGATTGTGGAAGGTACTGAAAGGCACTGGAAGATACTAGAAGACACTGAAAGACACTGGAAGACACTGGAACACACTGGAAGACACTGGAAGACACTGGAAGGTACTGGAAGATAATGGAAGACACTGGAAGACAGTGAAAACACTGGAAGACAGTGAAAACTGCGAGGCACTGTAAGGCAGTGGAAATCACTGGAAGACTGTGGAAAACACTTGAAGACACTGGAAGGCACTGGAAGACAGTGGAAAACAATGGAAGACACTGGAAGACGCTGGAACGCACTGGAAGATACTGAAAGACACTGGAAGACACAGGAAGATACTGGAAGAAACTGGAAGACAATGGAAGACACTGGAAGGCACTGGAAAACACTGGAAGGCACTGGATGATACTGGAAGGCACTGGAAGATACTGGAAAACACTGGAAGACACTGGAAGACAGTGGAAAACACTGGAAGACACTAGACGTCACTGAAAACCCTAACCGGTCCTCTCCTTTCTCATGCCTTAGTTTTTAACCCCTAGCCTCACGATTGTGAGTTAAGTTTCAGGTTCCGGTCTGTTTTACGGTCCCCAACGTCTACCTCTTAAAATTCCCTTCTCTGCTTTGGTTTTTAGGTTTCATATCAATTATCTTCTCAGATCTTCAGCCTACAAAGTTTGTTTTGCTCTACCTGGTTTCATTTCTCAAGTTTTTGGTGTACAATTTTGAATTTACGATCTCTTTTCAGCTTTCGTTACTCAACGAGCTCTTAAAATCCCGCAGACCATAACAATCCTGAAGACGATGCAAACGCCGAGCGACGGACGGACAGAAAATAGCATGTGCAAGCGATTTAAGCGAAAGTAGAACGGGCGACCCTCAGAAGTTTGGGGCGAGATAACATGACAGTAGACAAACAATCAGTATTATCACAAAGCACACATACTGCAATTTGTTTAAATGGCGTGGGTATAAAAGTAATCTGGGCAATGGAAAAGACGGAAAAATGCAGATAACGACTCTAATTATTGTCTACGTGCTAACGGCACTTGTTCAAGGTGCGTAATCGCCTAGGTAAGCCTTTTTCCAAGCGTAATGCTGTTTCAGCCGACCGTGGAGGTCTTCAACATCGCATCGTCCAAGGAAAGATGGCCGAAATTGGCCAGTTTCCGTATCAGGCGTCTCTTCGGAACTCGAGCCTCGGCCATTTCTGCGGTGGCGCTATTGTAAAAGGATATTCGGTGATCACCACCGCAAAATGCGTCCAAGGGTAATCTTCGAGTTGCAAACGAAGATGTGCTAAATGTCGATCCTTTCCAGGTATAGCCCCGAAAGCATCTTCGTGGTCGTAGGTACCAACGAGTTGGCCCCGAGCGGAAGAACAGTTGCGGTAGTCGCCATTTTAAGACACGAGGCTTACGACAGTGGCACTTTGAAGAACAACATCGCCCTACTTCGCACGAAAGAGGACGTGACACAAGCGTATAAAGCGGGAAAAATCGATTTGAACTACGGCTCGCCCTTCGCCGGTCAGAAGTGCACGCTGTCCGGTTGGGGAAAGGAGTCCGCATCTGCGCTTGCGTACTCGAACTACTTGCGTTACGTCGAACTCACCTTAATTTCCGTGAGCGAATGTCAAACGGCTTGGACAGGTTACGACGTCGATGCTAACAACCTCTGCACCAAACCGGAAGGAAAAGGTGGCTGTCACGGAGATAATGGGGGACCGCTGGTCAACAACAACAACGTACTCTACGGACTGTTATCCTGGGGCTATCCGTGCGCGACGAACAAACCTGACGTCTACGTTAGTATAGCAAGATATGCCAATTGGATCAACGAGCGCGCAATGTAAATAGCCATATTTGTAGATGGCAAATAAAGCTTAATCTGTAATTAGTGTCAGGGAAAGTTTATCAGGGCTAATGTTTCGGGGATCAGTAAAGGTTTTTATTTTTCAATCCGAAAATATTGTACATTAAATCTTTTTGATCAGTCGGTTATGTCACTGCTTGTCCCCACTGTCAACTCGTTACACTGCCCCCTCCTTAGAACTCCAACAATATCCATTCCTGTGGAAGAAGCAGTCCACCGGTCTGGGATAAATCGAACCCCTTGGATTGTAGTTTCACATCAGGATTTTGCCCACACTTGGGTAGATTTTCTCTAGTTCTTCCACCCAGCCAATTTTTCGGGTTGTTCGAAGGTCGCTGGCTACACAATGGGCTAAAGAGTATTCTATCGACAACCCAAACAGTCACACCAAACACTTCTGTGGTTCATAATTTTGGCATCTTGAGTAAGGTGGGTCAGAGGTTTAGCAATTATGGAAAAACCCGTCACAAATCGTCGGTAACGGGTGCGCAGACCTTCTTATCCGAGATTTATCAATTCTCGAACGGCTCTAGCCTTCTCAGGATCAACAGCAAGGCCACGGTTCGGCACAACGTGTCCTAAATATTGAACCTTACACTGGAAAATATGGCGCTTCTTTGAGGAAAGATTTAGTTTGGCCGACCGAAGACCTCTCGCAGATTCTTCGTGTGGTCTTCAAAGGTCTTTCTCACCACAATGGTGTTCTCCAAATAGACTAAAGAAGTCTTTCACGAAATCCCTTTTAGCACATTTTCCATGAGACGTTCAAACATCGCGAGTGCGTTACACAACCCAAACGGCATGACTGTAAAATTCCATAATCCCGATCCGATCATAAATGCCGTTTTCTCTTGATCTTCTGGAACGAAGTCTTTGAGGCGACGCGATGATAATCTATACAGAATCGTGTTGACTCTTCCTTCTTTTAAACCTAATATGGGTAGGTACAGTAGTGGTGTTACTAGTATACGAAAAGTCCGTTCACGTTGTCTTCGTCGTTGTCTTCGTCGCCGTCGCTGTCGTCGTCGTCGTTGTCGCTGTCGCTGGCGCTGTCTCTGCCGCTATCGCTGTCGCTATCGCTGTCGCTATCGCTGTCGCTGTCGCTGTCGCTGTCGCTATCGCTGTCGCTGTCGCTATCGCTATCGCTGTCGCTGTCGTTGTCTGTACTTCTTATAATTCTTTCTCTTTCTCCATTACTTCTACCTCCTAATTCGCAGTAAGTTTTGAAGAAAGTTAAATTCTTCGTATACGGGGGGGTTATTGTATACCCCCCAGAGATCCCGGAACAACATTCTCTTCCAGAAGAAGCGCTTAGTTTTCAAGACTTCCTTGATAGTTGGTCCAAGTGGAAGACCAGGAGCGGGGCTTGTGCCTGTCTCTGAACTTGCAACTTTTGTCAAGTATATGTATCAACAAAGACATGTTATTATTTGCTATTTGCTCTGTTGACAATAAAAACATTTATTATTTTTTTTTATTATTAGTTTTTAAGGAAGGACAGCGGAATCTTCGTTTCCAAAGACTGGAAAGACACTTTGAAAAGTATGGTGTAAGGGTTAAATACTTGGGGATGAATAGCTGTCTGGGGGGCATGGAGTACTCCCCAGGAAAAAATGAAAGGAGACTGCAGAGAGTGAAGAAGGTGAAGAGAGTGAGGACACTAATGACACTAATGGCACTAATGACACTAATGACACTAATGGCACTAATGACACTAATGACACTAATGGCACTAATGGCACTAATGACACTAATGACACTGAAGACACTTAAGATACTTAAAACATTGAAGCCACTGAAGCCACTGATGGCACTGAACGCATTGAAGGCACTGAAGAAGAGACTGAAGAAGAGGATGATAAAAGGCTGAAGACGAAACTGAAGAAGATACTGAAGAAGAGGCTGAAGAAGAGGCTGATGAAGAGGCCGATGAAGAGACTGAAGAAGAAATTGAAGAAGAGACTGAAGAAGAGCTTGAAGAAGAGACTGAATAAGAAACTGAAAAAGAGACTGAAGAGACTGGAAAGAGACTGGAAAGCACTGGAATACACTGGAAGGCACTAACCTCTATCTCCGTTCCCTTGCATTAGTTTTTGACCCCTAGTCTAGCCGTTTCCTCCCGATCTTCTAGAATGAATCTTTGAGGCGACGATAACCCATACAGAATCGTGTTGACCCCTCCTTCTTTTAAACCTAATATGGATTGTTGGTATTACAAGAAAAAGCCCGTTGTCGCGTTGTCGTTGTCGTCGTCATTGTCGCCATCGTCGTCGTCGTCGTCGTCGTTGTTGTCGTTGTTGTTGTCGCTGTGACCGAAGAGACCGAAGAAACCGAAGTCACTAAAGAGACCGGAAAGACCGAAGAGACCGAATATGCTAAATAGACTGAAGCCACTGAAGGCACTGAACGCATTGAAGGCACTGAAGAGACTGAGGAAGAGAGCGAAGATGAGACTGAAGAAGATACTGAAGAAAAACTGAAGAAGAAACTGAAGTAGAGAATGAAGAAGAGACTGAAAAAGAGACTGAAGAAGAGACTGAAGAAGAGGCTGAAGAAGAGGCTGAAGAAGAGACTGAAGAAAAGACTGAAGAAGAGACTGAAGAAGAGACTGAAGAAGAGACTGAAGAAGAGACTGAAGAAGAGACTGAAGTAGAGAATGAAGAAGAGACTGAAGAAGAGACTGAAGTAGAGAATGAAGAAAAGACCGAAGATGAGACTGAAGAAGATACTGAAGAAGAGACTGCAGAAGAGACTGAAGAAGAGACTGAAGTAGAGAATGAAGAAGAAATTGAAGAAGAGACTGAAGATGAGGCTGAAGAAGATACTGAAGAAGAGAATGAAGAAGAGACTGAAGAAGAGACTGAAGAAGAAACTGAAGAAGAGACTGAAGAAGAGACTGAAGAAGAGACTGAAGAAGAGACTGAAGAAGAGGCTGAAAAAGAGACTGAAGAATAGACTGAAGTAGAGACTGAAGAAGAGACTGAAGTAGAGGCTGAAGAAGAGACTGAAAAACAGACTGAAGAAGAGACTGAAGAAGAGACTGAAGAACAGACTGAAGAAGAGATTGAAGAAGAGACTGAAGAATAGACTGAAGTAGAGAATGAAGAAGAGACTGAAGAAGAGGCTGAAGAAGAGACTGAAGAAGAGAAGAAGAGACTGAAGAACTGAAGAAGAGACTGAAGAACTGAAGAAGAGACTGAAGAAGAAGAAGAGTCAGAAGAAGAGACTGAAGAAGAGACTGAAGAAGAGACTGAAGAAGAAGACTGAAGAAGAGACTGAAGAAGAGACTGAAGAAGAGACTGAAGAAGAGACTGAAGAAGAGATACTGAAGAAGAGACTGAAGAAGAGACTGAAGCACAGAGTGAAGCAGAGACTGAAGAAGCGACTGAAGAAGCGACTGAAGAAGAGACTGAAAAACAGACTGAAGAAGAGACTGAAGCAGAGACTGAAGCAGAGACCGAAGCAGAGACCGAAGAAGAGCCCGAAGAAGAGACTGAAGTAGAGACTGAAGCAGAGACTGAAGAAGAGACTGAAAAAGAGACTGAAGTAGAGAATGAAGAGGAGAGTGAAGCAGAGACTGATGAAAAAACTGAAGAAGAGAATGAAGAAGAGACTGAAGCAGAGACTGAAGCAGAGACTGAAGCAGATACTGAAGCAGAGACTGAAGAAGAGACTGAAGAAGAAACTGAAAAAGATATTGAAGAAAAAGTCGTTGTCGTTGTCGTCGTCGTCGTCGTCGTCGTCGTCGTCGTCGTCGCTGGCGCTGTCTGTACTTCTTATAATTCTTACTCTTTCTCCATTACTCCTAGCTCCTACTTCACAGTAATCTTTGGGAAAAGTTAAATTCTTTGTATACGGGGGGGGGGGGGGGGGCGATACAACATTCTCATTACAGAAGGCTAGTCTTCAAGATTTTCTTGATAGTTGTCCAAGGGATAGAGCATGAGGGAGGGGTTGTGCCTGTCCTGAACTGCAACCTTTTGTCATGTGTATGTACGAACAAAGAAATGTTATATTCTTTTGCTATTTGCTCTGATTGACAATAAAGACATTTATTTTATTATTCTTTAAGAAGAAGTGGAATCTCGTTCCAGAGAGACTGAAAACAATTTTTAAAAATGGTAGTGTAAGGTTTAAAATTATTTTGGGGACGAATAGTTTCTGGGCACTGGAATACTCCAGAAAAAATGACAAGAAACTGAAGAGGATGAATAGACCGGAAACACGGAAACACAATAATACTGAACACCGAGAGCCTGAAAGCACTGAAAAGAACTGAATAAGAACACTAAGAAGAGATGAAGAAGTAAACGAATAAGAGACGGGACAACTGCATTGAATGCACGTGAAGGAGATGAAGTAAGCTGAAGAAGAGTCTGAGAAGAACTGAAGAAGGACTGAAGAGGAAGACTGAAGTAGACACTGAAGAAGAGACTGGAAGAAGAGATCTGAAGAAAGACTGCAGAAAGAGAACTGAAGAAAAGACTGCAGAGGAGTGATGATGAAGGGCTTGAAAGAAGAGACTGAATAAGAGGACGGGCAGAGACTGATGGAAGACTGAAGAAAGCTAAAAGGAGAATCGAAGAAACACTGATGAGAACTGAAGGAGATACTGAAGAAGAGATTGAAGAAGAGACTGAAGAAGAGACTGAAATTGAGAATGAAAAAGAGACGGAAGAAGAGACCGAAGAAAGAGAACCGAAGAAGGTGCTGAAGAGAGACTGAAGAAGAGACTAAAGGAGAGACTGAGAAGAGAGAGAAGAGAGACTGAAGAAGAGACTGAAAAGACAAAGAGACTGAACAGACTGAAGAAGAGACTGAGGAAGAAAACTGAGGAAGAGACTGAAAAAGAGACTGAAAAGACGGAAGAAGAGACCGAAGAAGGGCTGAAGGAGAGACTGAAGACGAGACTGAAGAGGAGACTGAACAAGAGACGGAAGAAGAGACTGAAGAAGAAACTGAAGAAGAGACTGGAGAGACTGAAGAGACTGAAGAAGAGACTGAGGAAGAGACTGAAAAAGAGACTGAAAAGAGACTGAAAAAGAGACTGAAAAAGAGACGGAAGAAGAGACCGAAGAAGAGACCGCAAAAGAGACCGCAGAAGAGACCGCAGAAGAGACCGAAGAAGGGCTGAAGGAGAGACTGAAGACGAGACTGAAGAGGAGACTGAACAAGAGACGGAAGAAGAGACTGAAGAAGAAACTGAAGAAGAGACTGGAGAGACTGAAGAGACTGAAGAAGAGACTGAGGAAGAGACTGAAAAAGAGACTGAAAAGAGACTGAAAAAGAGACTGAAAAAGAGACGGAAGAAGAGACCGAAGAAGAGACCGCAAAAGAGACCGCAGAAGAGACCGCAGAAGAGACCGAAGAAGGGCTGAAGAGGAGACTGAACAAGAGACGGAAGAAAACACTGAAAAAGAACTGAAAATGAGATTGAAGAAGAGACTGAAAAAGAGGCCGAAGAAGAGACTGAAGAAGAGATTGAAGAAGAGACTGAAGAAGAGACTGAAGATGAGATTGAAGAAGAGACTGAAGAAGAGACTGAAGAAGGGACTGAAGATGAGATTGAAGAAGAGACTGAAGAAGGGACTGAAAAAGAGACTGAAGAATAGACTGATGAAGAGACTGAGATGTCTGATTTCAAATTTCAAACAAGTCGTTCCGTTACCATATATTGAGACACCGTTCAAACTACCGTTGCCAGATATCGAGACACAATTCAATAGTATTCCCATGAAAAACAATAGGTTTATTATTCAACAATGTATTCATTTTTCGATGTCAGCAATTATAACAATAGTAGCCTGTATAGGGAGGAAATGGTGGATAAATTTTTTTGTCTGTGAGTTCACTTTGCTTTGGGTGATCAGTAGGGTGGTGCTCCGTATAACAGAAAGGTAATGTACTTAGTTGTCATTGTAGATTATGTTGCCTTCAGCTATTTAATAATAATAATCAATAATAGTAATAATAATCTTTATTGTGTTAGTAGGCATAACCTTTACACTTGTCAGTAGTTACAGATATAGAGTATATAAAACAGTTACAATTTGTAATGCAGGGTAAAGTGATTCTTGAATTTGTGTAATTTGCTTTCAATGTATATAAAAGTGCTTCCTATTTTGATTTGTTGAAGATTGGCCAGCTATCAATTTTCATTTGTTTGTCTTGAGCACATTTGGATTGATTAGCGACTTCAATTCTTTGTGTACGAATCAGCCTTTTTTTGAGTGTAATTAACCTTTTCGCCCTTGCAGAGGTACATGCCGGAGTGATCATGGGCGTACGCAACTTTTGGTCTAGGGAGGGGCAAAAAATAAAATTGGCGGAAATAAAATGTTTAATGAAACACATAATAGGTATACATTTTTATTTTTGGAAGGTAATATTTACTAAAAACGTCTTCAAAATTATTATATCTCAAAATATTAGTTATTACCGCTTTTATATCAGTCAATTTTGTATTAAATATGCAAAAAAACACGGGGCGAAAATAGATGGTAGATATTATAAAGGCCATTTCGGTATATCGGAAGAATTTTAGGCAAATCGGTAGATCTACCGAAAAATCGGTAGATGGAACTGGTGACCACTGCACAGTGGTTTGTGTTAACGCGCGATTAGTGAACGATAACTTCCTCTTTCATTGCTTAAATCTCAAAGGAAAAGGTTTTGAATTAAAAGCCAACAAAGACAATTCTTACAGAAACATAAAACGTAACCTGTGGCCAGGTCAGGGGGGGGGGGTAGCTGCCCCCCCTTGCCCCTCCCTGCGTACGCCAATGGGAGTGATAGAGATACTTAGCGGCATGTATCTCGAACGACAACTTTAGTCTAATTTTACCGTATCAAGGATCTTAGACACCTGCTAGATTGGAGGAGGTCTGGCTAATTAATGGAATACTCCCCAGGAAGAAATGAAAGGTTAATGTTAATTTTCTTACACCAGATGTAATAGAATCTCTGGGGAACTGAGGTGTATTCCATACCCCCAGAGTCCCCTATAGTATAAGAGATGAGAGAATTACGTATCTTGGAGATGAATAGTTAGGAACCTGGGAAGGCATTGAATACCCCCCACTAAAGAATGATAGGTTAATATTCATTTTCTTACACCTGCCATAGAATTTCTGGGGTGGGGACGGTATGGAATACCCCCAGGCTCCCCGGCGCTACGTTCTTCCCCAAAATGTTCAGCTCCAAGGGCTTTTTCACAATTATAGTGAAAGGTTTGAGAGATGGATAGCTAGGACCGGGGGGATCTGGAGGGGGCATATAATACCCCTCACGGAAAAATTGAACTCTCCGGCCTCCCGGTGCTACGTTCTTCACCAAAATTTTCAGCTCTAAGGACTCTTTCACAGTGTAAGAGTTGAGTAAATTAAATATCTTAGGGATGAACAGGTAGGAACGATGGGTCTGGGGGTAGGGAGTAGAATACCCCCCCCCCCCCAAAGATAAGTTAATGTTCATTTCTTACACCTGTCATAGAATTTTCTGGGGCGTTGACGGTTAGAAATACCCCCGGGCTCCCCGGCGCTACGTTCATCCCTAAAATGTTCAGCTCCAAGGGCTTGAGAGATGGATAGCTAGGACCGGGGGATCTGCAGGGGACATGTAATACCCTCAGGGAAAAATTGAACTACCCGGCCTCCCGGTGCTACGTTCCCCACCAAAATTTTCAGCTCTAAGGACTCTTCACAGTGAAAGAGTTGAGAATTAAATATCTAAGGGATGAACAGGTCAGGTAGGAATGATAGGTCTGGGGTAGGGTAGGGTAGGGAGTAGTTCATTTTCTTACACATGTCATAGAATTTTTGGGGTGGGGACGGTATGAAATACCCCCGTCGCTACTTTCATCCCCAAAATGTTCAGCGGTGTTCGTCGTGTTCGGGACCTTTGGTCCCTACGTCTTGGGAAATGACCGCGCCCTCGAGCTCCTTAAAGTCTTTCGGGCTTTCGAAATCTTCATAGTTTTAAACTTTTCAGGGTTTCACAGTCCTCGATCCACAAACATTCACAATCACTGCTTTATCTCCCACAGTCTAAATATAGCATTATCACCGCAGAAAAGGTCAGATAAGGCGTCCGGTAAGCATTCTGTTTATACGAACCGCTCCAGTCCCAGTGCTATGCAGCATTACCCTCGTGTCATTATCGTCGGAGCGGGAGCGGCTGGAATTGCGGCAGCCTCGCGTCTCGTCGCAAAAGGCATCGGTAACGTGACGGTCTTAGAAGCGGAGGATAGGATCGGCGGTAGAATCCACACGATCCGCCCCGAGGGCGACGCGATCGATTTGGGAGCGGCGCGTTGTCCCTCGAACTCGCTTGCGCACCAGATCGTCAAGGATTTCGGTTTATTGGAGGCAAAGAGGACGGGTACTGCCCTTTTCCACTCGAAATTCGGACGAGCTTCAACGCAGTTCGTGGGGACGCTGTTCGGTAGACTTTCGGCCTTACACGACCTAGACAAACCGAAAGATGTCACGTGGCACCAGCACTTTCATCAACAGTAAGTACCCACACTGCTCAGAATCTATTCTTCACCCAGGTCGTAGCTACCAAAGCTGTGTCGTTGACCACTTCTCCGACGAGCCCGATCGACTGCTCGCGTTAGACTGCATGGATTTTATGAAAAAAACCCTCGCAATGACTACTGGCTTGTTTTCTTTGGGAAGCGGCGGAGAGAGGCTGGCCGCACCCCCAACCACCTTCGGCATGGTTTGGAAACGTGGAGGCTTTCGAGTACTTTTAGATGTTTTGATGAGATCCTACCCCAATCGCAAACACAGCCTGAACGTCGAGGACAAAATCCGTTTAAACTCCAAAGTCGAGCACATTTCGTGGAAGGGCGAGGAGGAGATCAGGCTGATCTGCTCCAATGGATCCGTCTTCGTCGCCGACTACGTAATTGTAACCGCGCCCCTAGGCGCTTTAAAGCGACAACATTGCACGCTCTTTTCGCCACAACTCTCTGATAGAAAGAGAAAGGCGATCGAGTTGTTAAAGGCTGAGGGGGTGTTGAAGATCCCACTCCATTTTCCCAAGAAGTGGTGGGATGACAATGACTTTTTTCTTGCGTGGGGCGAAGACGATTTGAAATGCGTTGGCTTTAACAGGGGACCTCAAAAGGTTAGTTGCTGTCAGCAAACGCAATTACTAAGGTAGATTTCCAGAACGGTCACTGCTGGATTACCAGTTTGGTGGGATTCCAGATAAACTCAGAAAACTCCAAAGTTTTGCACGCGCTCTTCGCGGGTGAATTGATACCGGAGATCGAACAAATCGAGGAGGAGGTATTGTTAGACGGAGTACACTTCGTAACCCAACGATTCTGTGGAGATTTTGCTGATAGACCTACTAAAAGTGAAAGGCGAGTTCGATGTTCGGCAGGCCGATCATGATCTTTTCTGCTTGTAGGTCTGGTTTCTTCAACAACCCCCACTTCGGTTCCAGTGTTGCCGTTGAGACAATTGAAAGTGTGAGAGAAGGCGTGACCAGGGAAACCTTAGGGGAAGCGGAACTATCGGAATTGGGCAAACCGAGGTTGCTATTTGCTGGAGAGGCAACCAGCGACGTGTCCTACGGCAATGTGAGCGGGGCCGTTTTTACCGGCTTTAGAGAAGCTGATAGAATTATTGATCTTTGTAAACAATTATAAATAAAAATCACTGCTAGACTTAATATGAAGTTGTCTTAAAATTCATTTACAATTTTTTTGAATTTATCTTGAAATTATCTTGATCTTGTGTCCTAAGTGTCCTCAGTATCCTCAGAGTCTTCAGAGTGAAATTATCTTAATCTTGAGTCCTTAGTGTCCTCAGTGTACTAAGCGTCCTCAGTTTCCTCAGTATCCTCATAGTCCTCAGAGTGAAATTATCTTCAGTCCTCAGTATCCTCAGAGTCCCCAGCGTCGTCTTGGTGTCTTTGGTGTCTTTCGTGTCTTTGATGTGTTTGGTGTCTTTGATGTTCTTGGTGTCCTTGCTGTCCTTGGTATCCTTGGTGTTTTTGGTGTCCTTGGTTCTCTTGCTGTCCTTGGTGTCCTTGCCGTCTTTGGTGTCCTTGGTTTCCTTGCTGTCCTTGGTGTCCTTGCTGTCCTTGCCTTTCTTGGTGTCCTTGGTTTCCTTGGTGTTCTTGCTGTCCTTGTGGCCCTTGCTGTCCTTGGTCTCTTTGGTGTCCTTGTTGCCCTTGCTGTCCTTGTTGTCCTTGGTCTCTTTGGTGTCTCGTGTCTTTTGCGTCTTTGGTGTCTTTGGTGCCTTTAGTGTCTTTAGTGTCTTTAGTGTCTTTAGTGTCTTTAGTGTCTTTAGTGTCTTTAGTGTCTTTAGTGTCTTTAGTGTCTTTAGTGTCTTTAGTGTCTTTAGTGTCTTTAGTGTCTTTGGTGTCTTTAGTGTCTTTAGTGTCTTTAGTGTCTTTAGTGTCTTTAGTGTCTTTGGTGTCTTTGGTGTCTTTGGTGTCTTTGGTGTCTTTGGTGTCTTTGGTGTCTTTAGTGTCTTTAGTGTCTTTAGTGTCTTTAGTGTCTTTAGTGTGTACTTTAGTGTACCTCGTGTTTTTGGTTTTATGTACCTTGGATGTCTCCAAAGTTTTCGAGACTTTCAGTACCTCGGTATCTTTAGTGTATTTAGCACTTTGAAGTCAGTGTCCACTTTTGGTGTCCTGCGTTCTTTTGATCTTCTGTACCTTGGACGGGAGGGAGATTAAAAGGTCTATTTTTTTGTACATTTATCATGTTCTCAGTTTTCGGTATTTCCAGAATAACTGGTCACGAAGGAGAAAGGGGTACTGTAACTGCCATTTTAAACTTGAAATTGAAGTCGGATCATTGGTACTAATAATTTAATTTCAAAATAAGAACAATTAAAAGTTATATTAATCTACAAATAACAACTGTTTATTTACATTAGCGTAATCGCAAGATTAATGGGTACGGATGCCCGCGTAATCACTATCACCTGATGTTCATTCTGCAAGCTTAACAAAGCGCACGTTGATCTCTTCCCGCTTAGGGATCGTTATAAAGCCACTGGGTTCCAAGGTAATCTCGTCAGGTGTACTTTTCGACGGTACAATTTCAAAGTTCAACAGCAACTTCACTATTCCCATTTTGACAATCATGTTAGCCAAATTGACACCTAGAAACCGTACAACGTTTACCTTCGACAGACCTAAAATCACGGATACCCACCGACACAGTTGCGCCTTCCTTCGCCAAACGGCAGATACGCGAAACGTTCCAATTGGTCTCTGTTTTCTGGGGCGAAACGCCCCGGATCGTACTTTTCCGGATTGGGAAAGAACCTGGGATCGTTGTGCAAGCCGTAAAGGGAAATATAGACTGGAATCCCCTTGTCGATGATAATGTCCGTGTTCGGAATTTGGTAGGTTTTCGTGCAGAGGCGGTCGAGGAAGCCCAAAATCGGTTGTCTACGGAGAGACTCTGCAAGGGGTTAGCCGTGCTCGTTGACGACTCTTACCTTTCAGGCACATGTCGAGATACTCCATCTCGCGCAAAGCCGCGTAGGTTAAGCCGCCATGTTTGGCGATCACGGAGCGAATCTCTCCTCTGAGGCGGATTTGATGCTTGGGATTGACGCACAGATCGTACAGGCTAAAGGAGAGGGTTGTCGCGTTAGACATGAATCCGGCCGTTATGTACTCGAGACTGATGGCTAAGCCCTGAATATCTGAAATGGTGGTTTGTTAGAACTGCAGACAGAAACCTGTAATACCGATGTTGTAGTTCTTGAATTCCCCTTCCATTTTAATGAGTGCCTCCAGTAGGCCTACGCGAGTGTGTTCCACCTCCCTCCTCAGTTTCACATTCTTCTTAAAAACTTCGGTGACGAATTTGACTGATTCGGGTTCCAAAAACTTCATCCTGAATGGCTTTACGAACATGTGCGCGAAAAAGTAACAAATCGAGTGCACTATGCGGCTGAAGGTGGCGTTTTGTAAGTTGCGAGCTGCCTGGTAAAAATCGGAGTTCTGAAAGGAGTTCGCTTGGATTCCAACGGCGTAAGCCGAGAGCGCTTCCAGTGAATACTTAATTGACAATTCGCGGCACTCCGTCACTTCCCGTGAAAGCTCCACGTTCCTGACGTGCTCAACGAAGCGGTCGGCGGCGTCTACCACCAAGGGGAACATGGCCTTCACCTTCCCCATAGACAGGGTCGAGGTGAAACGCGATCTCGCCTCCTCCCACTCGGAATTTTTCAGCATAAATAACGAAACCGCACTTAGTAAATCGTTCTCTTTATTTTCGGCCGTGTTCCTATCCCCAAAGTGCGAGAAGTCGTTCATCAAAACGCTCTTGACTAAGTCCGGATCTTTGGCCACCAGCGCCGGCTTGTCGAAGAGGAAGAAGCCGCCGCAAGAGAAATCCGTCATGTTGTAAACGTCGCAGAGGTATTGCGAAATTGACCTCTTGTGCATCAGCACCGGGTAGATGGTGCCGAAAAACGGGACCGGTCGAAAATGGGGCACATTCCTCTTCTTCCAGTAGTCAAATTTCCTGGTGGAATACAGATAGCCGAGAATTAGAAGCGTCACAAGAGCTACTACGAAAATCCACATTTTAAGAGTGCAGGCTACGCCAGTTGCTGCTTAATAACTGAGTCGCAGTGGAAAAAATCGCGTATCTATGACGTCGGGAGGGTGATGTTATCTTTTACTTGTCGAGGTGAAAGTTAAAAATAAACTTTTTTGTGTAGATTTCCGATTGTATGTTGGAGAAAACAAAATTACTACCAATGTATCTACTGATAGGCGTATCAATTTCTCGTGATGATCAGGTGATTTGAACATGTAGTTGCAGTGTTGGAAAAACAATCCCATAACAAAAGAAGAAATTCACTGTGAATCCTCTCCATCTATTCAAGTAGTACCATATATAGAGTCGATATCCTAACGCAAAAAGTCACCAGAAAAGTTACAGTAACTTTGCTGGTGACTTTTTGCGTTAGGATCGGCATTACTACTTTTTTAGTAACTTTTCTGGTGACTTGTTGCGTTAGGATCGTCAGTACTACTTTTTTAGAAACTTTTCTGTGACTTTTGCGTTAAGATCTGCCTTACTACTTTTGTTAGTAACTTTTCTGGTCATTTTTTGCGTTAGGATCTGCCTTACTACTTTTTTAGTAACTTTTCTGGTGACTTTTTGAGTTTGGATCGACATTACTACCTTTTTAGTAACTTTTTTGGTGACTTTATGAGTTAGGATGAGCATTACTACTATTTTAGTAACTTTTCTGGTGACTTTTTGCGTTAGGATCGTCTTTACTACTTTTTTTAGAAATTTTTCTGGTGACTTTTTGCGTTAGGAGCGGCATTACTGCTTTTTTAGTAACATTTCTGGTGACTTTTTGCGTTAGGATCGACATTACTACTTTTTTAGTAACTTTTCTGGCGACTTTTGCATTATGATCTGCCTTACTACTTTTTTAGTAACTTTTCTGGTGACTTTTTGCGTTAGGATCAACATTACTACTTTTTTAGTAACTTTTATGGTGACTTTTGCGTTAGGATCAACATTACTACTTTTTTAGTAACTTTTCTGGCGACTTTTGCATTATGATCTGCCTTACTACTTTTTTAGTAACTTTTCTGGTGACTTTTTGCGTTAGGATCAACATTACTACTTTTTTAGTAACTTTTATGGTGACTTTTGCGTTAGGATCAACATTACTACTTTTTTAGTAACTTTTCTGGCGACTTTTGCATTATGATCTGCCTTACTACTTTTTTAGTAACTTTTCTGGTGACTTTTTGCGTTAGGATCAACATTACTACTTTTTTAGTAACTTTTATGGTGACTTTTGCGTTAGGATCAACATTACTACTTTTTTAGTAACTTTTCTGGCGACTTTTGCATTATGATCTGCCTTACTACTTTTTTAGTAACTTTTCTGGTGACTTTTTGCGTTAGATTCGGCATTACTACTTTTTTAGTACCTTTTTTGCTGACTTTTTGCGTTAGGATCTGCCTTACTACTTTTTAGTAACTTTTCTGGTGACTTTTTGTGTTTGGATCGACATTACTACTTTTTTAGTAATTTTTTTGGTAACTTTTTACGTTAGGATCTGCCTTACTACATTTTTAGTAACTTTTCTGGTGACTTTTTGCGTTAGGATCGTCATTACTACTTTTTTAGAAACTTTTCTGTGACTTTTTGCGTTAAAATCTGCCTTAATACTTTTTTAGTAACTTTTTACTAATTTGTTAGTAACTTTTCTGGTGACTTGTTGCATTAGGATCGTCAGTACTACTTTTTTAGAAACTTTTCTGTGACTTTTTGCGTTAAGATCTGCCCTACTACTTTTTTAGTAACTTTTCTGGTGATTTTTTGCGTTAGGATCTGCCTTACTACTTTTTTAGTAACTTTTCTGGTGATTTTTTGAGTTTGGATCGACATTACTACCTTTTTAGTAACTTTTTTGGTGACTTTATGAGTTAGGATGGGCATTACTACTATTTTAGTAACTTTTATGGTGACTTTTTGCGTTAGATTCGACATTACTACTTTTTTGGAACTTTTCTGGTGACTTTTTGCGTTAGGATCGTCTTTACTACTTTTTTTAGAAATTTTTCTGGTGACTTTTTGCGTTAGGATCGGCATTACTTCTTTTTTAGTAACTTTTCTGGTGACTTTTTGCGTTAGGATCGACATTACTTCTTTTTTAGTAACTTTTATGGTAACTTTTGCGTTAGGATCGTCTTTACTACTTTTTTTAGAAACTTTTCTGGTGACTTTTTGCGTTAGGATCGGCATTACTTCTTTTTTAGTAACTTTTATGGTGACTTTTTGCGTTAGGATCTGCCTTACTACTTTTTTAGTAACTTTTCTGATGACTGTTTGCGTTAGGATGGGCATTACTACTTTTTTAGTAACTTTTCTGGTGACTTTTTGCATTAGGATCGGCATTAGGTACTACTTTTTTAGTAACTTTTCTGGTGACTTTTTGTGTTAGGATCTGCCTTACTACTTTTTCAGAAACTTTTCTGGTTACTTTTTGCGTTAGGAGCGGCATTACTACTTTTTTAGTAACATTTCTGGTGACTTTTTGCGTTAGGATCGGCATTACTACTTTTTTAGTAACTTTGCTGGTGACTTTTTTCGTTAGGATCGGCATTACTACTTTTTTACTGGTGACTTTTTGCGTTAGGATCGGCATTAGGTAATACTTTTTTAGTAACTTTTCTGGTGACTTTTTGAGTTAGGATCGGCATTACTACTTTTTTAGTAACTTTTCTGGTGACTTTTTGCGTTAGGATTGGCTTTACTACTTTTTTAGAAACTTCTCTGGTGACTTTTTGCGTTAGGATCGGCATCACTACTTTTTTAGTAACTTTTCTGGTGACTTTTTGCGTTAAGATCGGCATTACTACTATAACTTTTCTGGTGACTTTTTGCGTTAAGATCGGCATTACTACTATTTTAGTAACTTTTATGGTGACTTTTTGCGTTAGATTCGGCATTACTACTTTTTTAGTAGCTTTTCTGGTGACTTTTTGCGTTAGAATCGGCATTACTACTTTTTTAGTAACTTTTCTGGTGACTTTTTGCGTTAGGATCGGCATTACTACTTTTTTAGTAACTTTCCTGGTGACTTTTTGGGTTGGGATCGGCATTACTCGTTGAAAGTGAACTTTGAAAGATGGTTGACGACTCGAATCAGAAACAAACTGGCCTTCAAGTTCCTCTTAATTGAACAGTTGAAATTCTGTTTACTCACTGGAATAATTCACCAATGTTCCGCAGTATGGTAATGTCAATTGTCCCTTTGTACTTTTAACAGGTTTCCGTTTAATTCAGAATCTTATTGCCGCCCCCTATAAACAAAATAGGTGCACAAAACCACTCCAAGTATAAACGCAATGAACGTTTTGTACTTCGGACCACAACGCTTTTGTGGTAAAATTTATTTAAACGGCTGATCCAATGAGGCAACTGAACCAAAATGTTCACTCACGTAAATACGCCACTTTAAATTAGAGTTATACGTGATCGCAACTCGTTTCTTATCTGAAAGCGCTTCATTCTATTGCATTTTAGTTCTATTCATTTTTGCTATGAAGCGGTACACGTATAAAATTTCCTATACTGGTAAATTTGTAAATTCAAAACCACATTTTTCTAAGCCTAAAGCGGCCAACGTGTTGACGGTCTACCTCATCGATTCCTTGGTAACTACTCGAACAGCTCCTAGAAGTGCTTCGAATCCAAAGGCCAATTCGAGCTCTTTCTTTAGACTCTATTAGACCATTTAAAACTCCTGGTTTCTTAAAAGTAGTTTAGCCTAAATCAACGCTTTCTGAGGAATTTCATGACTGCCAAAGCTTTTTAAAGAGTTTCCGAACCCTGGCGTGATGTTTTTATCTTTGCTTAGAAGATCTACGGAAGGATCTATTAAATACTGTACAAGTTTGTAAAGAATCTTGAAGGACCTCAACGGCTCTAACCGACCTTCTCGACCTTTTTAAGGATTTTCAGGTTAGATCAATTTTATCGAGTGTGGTAATATCAGCTGTTACCGGGCGGGGTAACGTAAGTGGCAAACGGAGGTTGAAAACGTATATTACACAATATTTACAAATAATACAGAGGCTATATGTACATATATAAAATCGCTTCTGGCACGTGGGATGGCGCCGGACTTGACTACGGTCAAGCCGGGAAGTGATGGCGTGCGGAGACGGTACTTGAGCCCAAGCGACCAGCCTCAGTCGCTTGTGTAGGGTAAGGTAGGTTTGCCCAGGCACAAGTGAAGTTCCCCTGTCGGTGCGCTGCTTATAAACGATTTCCGGTAGAGGCGTCTGGCGACGCGGCCAATAGGGCGCTAGTGGATGGTGGGGTGGAAGTTGCAACCCCTCTCCTAGTCGTCGTAACAGTATCCCCCCCCTGTAAAGGGGTTGCGACGGCGGGGTGCAGGCGCTGTAGCAAACGGCGGTGACGGGGTTGTCGTTGGTTCCGTGGTGGCGTCGGTGAAATGATTCTTGGCGGAAGTTCCGGTACTGGTGCCGGGGTGGGTTGGTTGGGTGCGGGGCGTAGATCGTGTACGTGCACCTTTACCAGTTCGTTTCCTCGCCTTATCCAGTACGCGTTTGTGCCCGCCAGCGCTTCGATGGTGTAGGGACCTGTGTACTTCATGTGAAAGTTCCCGGAGTGTTGGTCCCTGGATCTTTCCATCACTCCGTCGCCTACTTGGTACTGGGTGCGGGCTGGCCCGTAGTTCGCGTACCGGCTGCGGGATCGTGCCTGGTTCCTGTGCACCGTCTGTACGACCTCCTCTCGGGCTTCTCCTGTCGGTGGAGGTGGTCGATCCCTGGCTTTCCACTCTCCTGGCCTGGGTAGGTCGTAGCCTAGCAGCGCGTGGCTCGGCGTGAGTCCAGTAGCGGCGTTTCTCCTCGTACGTAACGTGAACATGACAATGGGTAGTACGGCCGCCCAGGCGCTGGGGCTTTGTCCCACCAGATGAGTGCGGAGGCCCATTTTGATTTCTTGGTTCCGGCGTTCGACGGGGTTCGCCTGCGGATGCCATATGGGCGTCGTCCAGTGAATTGCTCCCCACTTCCGAAGTGCCGCGTCCCATGTCACTGATGTGAATTGCGGTCCGTTGT